CCCTTTCAGCCCCACAGAATTTGCCACGTGTTAATACTTAATAATAGACCATTCGACTTTCTTTTGTGGTCTTGCTTTATGGAATGCTGCATTTGAGCATGCATGCTTCATGAGTCGTTCAGAAGTTGCCACGTGACTATCAAGTCCATGAGCATTCACGCCCAGATGTTTCAATTGGTAAGGACTGGATTAGACAGGTATAGTTTTTACTCTGCGATGACAATCGACAGTCTTCAGCTTGCAGAAAAAATCCAGTTACAAGTTTTACTTTACCTCAAAAGAAATTGTCAATTGTGGGAAGTTTTACTCTGCGATGACAATCGCCCAGATGTTTCAATTCGTGATTTCTACAGCTTTCTTCACTTTCTTGAATTGATAAAGCATCAGGGATGTCCTGCTGCAATTGGCCAAAGCAAAAGAAGCTTAGCTTTTATGGGTCCTAACTCCTAAGTGGTTATTGCGTTGTAATAAGTACTGTTCTTCCTCAGCATCCAAACCCACCCTCAATAACACAACTGTGTTACATTACAAGGCCACGTTGAAGATTACTGAATGATTGGGTAGACGTGTATATGAGAGAAAGAGAGAGATATCATCAATTGATCACTAGTGCAGGAAGCAGATCAAAGTGAGTGAGTGTCAGTTGATGAGCAGGAGTGAAATAGATTAAAGCAGTTGTCATGGGAAGAGAATCTCGAGGAAAGAACAATACAAGGGCTTAGCTAGCCTTAGGAGGTATTCAATGGATTCGTTAATGGCGTCTGTCCCTGGAAACTTCCAGGAAATAATCCGAAAGTTGGGTAATTAATAATAAGGGAATTACGACAGGCCAACATATGAAGCTTCCTCTGGGCTTTCATTCGTTCGTCTTGTTGTTTATTTACTCTCTTATCAGTTATCACACATCACAAGCTGTCAAGCTGCATGTTAACATGGAACAAGGCCCCAGTTGGGTTGTGTGCCTAACTGCCTCTTCTAAGCTGATGGATGGATCGATAGGTGTAACATTTGAAATGGAAAAATACATTGCACTTTATTCTAGAATTTTGAAATTATAGTCTATATAATCTATTAATAGCCCCTATAAATCGCATCTTATTCGTTAATTTAACATCAATCCATGGTCAATATTCATCCTACGAGCTAATAATTAGGCTGAATAGTCATTCTTCCTATGTTTGTCATATTTCCTTTTGACAACCTTCCTCAAATTCATCCGAATTTTAGTTCCTTTTAAAAATAGTATAAATATAATATAAATAAAAATGTTTCGTACAAATATATAGTCAAACCCTTTAAAAATGTTTCAAAGGAAGAAAGGCTTTCAGGCTATAGTCTCTATCATTCAGATATGAATCTTTTTCAAATTTAGACACATGGTATTTTTTGAGAAGTTGCGATTAAAGTCCACAACCCATTACCACCTTTCAAGCAAGTGGCTTTCTCATTTTCTAAAAAGCTAGGCATGTGGCAATTTTTAAAAAATTCCTACTAAAGCCCACAACCCACTACCAGGCTACACCTTCCCACCATTTATGCACTTGGTCTTCTCATTTTTCTGGAAAACTAGACATGTGGCATTTTCTAAGAAGTTGTTAAATCTTACAACCCACTACCACCATTTTCAATACATTCCTAAAAAAATGCGAAAAATGCAAAAATGGTTATCTACAACCACTTATGCCTACATTCTATTAATCTTAGTTAATCACTAATCCTATATATATCATAACAAAAGAAAATTATTCATATTCTAATAATTATTGAAGAACTATTTTTTGAAATAAATAAATATTTCTTAAAATTTTAATAATTATTTAAAATATTAATAAATATAAATTTAACATTATTAATTCCATAATATAAATTTAACATTACTGATTCACCGTACTTAATATGGGGTCATTCACTAATCTATATATAAAAACAGAAGGAAATACGAAAAGCTTCTCTCAGCTTCGCAAGCCACCCCCCTATTTCTACCTCCTCCCTGCCCTCTTTCTCCACCTCCTGCCTGGGCTGGGCCTGCATCACGACTCTACACAAGGGCAGAGGCGGTCGATGCAGTCGGTTATTTAGTTTTGTAATGATAGATTTCATACCTACTATTGTCAAATGATTTTTATGTGGTGTTTGATATTATTTTCGTTTTTATTTTTTTGAGAAAATTGCGTTACGTAGGAACCGCATCATATTTTGAGAAAACGGCAAAAATACATTGGCAGTTGCTTTTTGGTTAGCCATTTTTTTTTACAAAAAATGGGAAAATGTTTTGCCATTTTCTCAACAAATGGCCCATCTCAGAAAATGTCACATTTGTAGCTGATATGGCTCTTATGTGGCACTATTTTCTCAGAAAATGACAAGGAAATTAATCAAACAACACCATGCATAAACATTTTCACAAAAAAAATACAATGCCTTTATTTTCAAATGAAAAAAAAAACACAATAAAACCAAACACCTCCTTAATTGTGATAGGTGTAAATATGAATCCTGAGATTAAAATTCACCTTTTTACATTAATCAAATTTGAGTACAACCAGTGTTGACGTGTTAGCTGATTTATTCTAACGTTGATGCAGAATCAAATCCCACAACCAGCACTTTGGGGAAGAAAGGGTAAAGGGGAAATTGTTAATGATGCATGACATGGAATAACAAAAAAAAATTGAGTGCAAAAATTTACATTTTTTTTAGAATACAAACTTTGCTCTCATTTTGAATTTAAACATGTGTTGTGCAAAATTCAACCGAGTATATGCATTGGACCAATGTCAGTACTCTTTTCGAAATGAAGCCAAAGATTTAGAAATATTATAAACAGTGCAAAATTCAACCGAGTATATGCATTGGACCAATGTCAGTACTCTTTTCGAAATGAAGCCAAGGATTTAGAAATATTATAAACAAGGTTTTATATACTGAACATATTTGTATTTAAACTCTTCCCAAATGAATTTGCACCACAAGTATTTGTATTTACACTCTTCTCAAACTGAGTCAAATATATACAGTGCATATACATACAAAATACAAGGTTTTACACTTTACATATTTGTATTTAAACTCTTTCTAAACTGTGAAATTGATTTCTAGTTTTACCGGCCTGACCGGAAACACTCAGCCCTAATCCAAGGATAACGATGGGCTGGGTTAAAGCTTAAAGGCCCAGTTACAGTTGGGTCTAGAAGTTTATCCAATTCTTATTAACATCAATCTTGTAAGCACACGTTTATGCCATGACCCACTTGTCTAGGTTGCCCCGCCTGTTCTCTTTCAGGTTTCATCTGTCAAAATGAAATGAAGAAACCCGAATTAGGCTTATCAAGATGCCAAGAACAAAAATTGCAGATTTGTTGGTTGTATAAGCGTCATTTTCCCTGCTTTTAGGCCTCATTTGTACAATAATTTAGGCATTTTGAAATAAAAAGGTTAATATCTTGACAAATACCAACAAATAAATCAAATACAGAAACAATTTTTTCATGGAAACTTTGAAATAAATAAGCCAAATTTTTAACCATAACAAATCAAAATCAAACCTGTTATATCAATACCTAGAATTGAATGAACTCCAAAAGTATGACAAAATTAGTCCATTTTTCTGTTCATCTCATATGATGTGTTTCATTTGGACTCATTTCTGGTGGACAACCACAATGATGAATCCAATATATTTTCATTTCTTTTTTCAAAAGGGGCTACAGCTCCACAACCGTCCTAGCCCATCTCTTAATCAAAACCATGTAACCCCAGCCGTGACCCATGATGAAAGCGGGATTCAGTGCTTATTTTGGACGGCTTTCAAGTAGCAACTTTTGGCTTTTCGAGATAGGCCTTTATCCTGCTGACAGTTTAAAAATCCGAAGAGTCCAGAATAGTTATCTTACAGCTAAAAATGACTTTCTGCTGAAGCTCTTTTTTAGTGGTTTCTTCAAAGCAATTTAGGCGGTGTTTGTCATCGATGTCGTTGTTCCAGAAAACAGTGACAAATCAGTATCACGTTGGAAGAATCGGTGTTCCAGAAAATTAATATGTTTAGAACCGTTTTTCTATAAAAAACGGTGCTCCAAATCATGCTTTAGAAATCGAGAAGGTATGGTCTCAGAAAATACCGAATTTGATGTTTTCTCAAATTGGAGATCATTACTGTCAATGAAAATATGATGTGACAATGATATGGATTTCCTATAATGGATAACAGTACTGAAAACAGATATGGAGCACTCGTACCAAATAGAAGGTGTTGTTGTTGCCCTAGAAAACATTTTACTTTGTAGCAACATTTCCAAACAAAAAAAAAAGACTATTTTCTCAGAAAATGGTTCCTCCAGTCCACACATAACGGTGTTATATATACAGCATCGATGTCAAACATATACTTAATTAAAGGAGCTCATTAGGGTTTGAAAATTGAATAGCTGCAGTGCGGTACTGTCTACTCTCACTCTTATCGGAAAGCAAATCAAGCAGCGGATGGTGATCTATGGTGTATCTGTTGAGTGATGTCTGAGGCCGAGTTACCCCCGGATTCTGTAGTTCCCCCTTTTATCTGCCAAATAAAAATCAAAGCAGCTCATTTAAAACTTAACCCTCATGGACGAACCCCAAACCCTAAGTCCAAGGTGAAAGTTGCATAATTCGAACAACTTCAATTTTTCAATTACAATGGGTTTGGATTCACGCTTGGGCGAGACGACTCTGGATCTGCTGTGAATACTGACGTGTATAACGGGCTATAATAACCAATGAATTTGAATTTTGCTTGTACTTGATTCGTATTATCCTAGCTCGGCCCAGTCTGGAAATTTCCCGGCTTGGGCATCTTTTGTGTCAAGCCTGGCTTGGAGTTGGGCCTGCATCAGGCCCAGAAATTTATGGACCGGCCTGGGCCCAATACTTTAGGCCCAGCCTAGCCATGATCTCCCAATTGTAACTGTTCTTGGTCTATAAATTGAGCTGACCTGAACATTTTGCTTCGCAGCGCTTTTCTGTTTTCAAGCTTCAACTGGCGGGAATGATTGGCGCCAGAATTTCGAAAGCATCATTCGCGGGGTTTTCTCTATATAAACCAAATCATTCGTCTGTTGTCCATTCTCAAATCTTCCCAAGAAGAAGAAATTCCTTTTGCTGTTTAAGAAGCTCTCGATCACTCAATATGGCGAAGCAGAGCGAGCAAAACGGTGTTCCAGAAGTCACCCAAGACCTTCCCACCCTTTTGAGAGTGAAAAAGCTCTCAGAAAAGGCCATCTTGCCTACAAGAGCATCGCCACTCTCAGCCGGCTACGATCTCTCCAGGTAACATGAACGGCTTTTTTTTTTTCTTTCACGGCATTATAGTTCATTTTTCTCAAATAGATACATCATTTCCTGCAACCTCTATCCGATTCAGTGCGGCCGAGACTAAGGTTCCGGCAAGGGGAAAAGCACTGGTCCCGACTGACCTGAGCATCGGCATACCCGATGGGACGTACGCTCGCATTGGTAAGTGTTACTCTAATTACGGGAATATCAGAAGTATAATTGCTAGTTAATTTCCTTAATAAATGACCGTGCTTTGATGTGCAGCACCGCGATCGGGTCTTGCGTGGAAGCATTCGATTGATGTGGGTGCTGGTGTCATAGATGCTGATTACAGGGGACCAGTAGGGGTGGTTCTCTTCAACCACTCCGACGCTGATTTTGAAGTGAAGCCCGGCGATCGGATAGCCCAATTAATCATCGAGAAGATAATGACACCAGATGTTTTGGAGGTTGAAGACTTGGATTCAACTCAAAGAGGCTCTGGGGGATTTGGGTCTACGGGTGTTTGATCTTCTGCTTTTTGGTGTTTTTTTCCCCAAGGGGGCTGACTAAGGAATTATGACGAACGTGTAGCGTGCAATCGCCTCGTGGTTTTGTATATGGACGTCGACATTTTGAAATAGAATATTTATACTTGAGCACTAGTGCAATTGGATTTCCAGTTTTTAGTTTTATAAAAAAAAGCAACCGCCAACGGTAGCGGACCAGCGGTTTTCTTTTTATCATCTCATTCTCCTGAAGGAGCCCATTTGGCTTCTAAGACTTTCACATTGCATACGAGGGACTAGACTCTAGAGCCTACAAATGAACAGTTTTCATTATCAAATGACATGAACGTTTGATTAATGACTTATTGCAGTTTTTAACTTTTTATGGCCAAAAACCCAATTCCAAAATATCACATATTCCATCTTGTGCCTAAACAAAACAATGAAAAGACAAACTTAGCTTAAAAACATCGATCGTGAGAACCACAAAAGATTGAAGTTCTTTTAAAAGCACCCACACACTGAGGGGTAACAAGTTTTGATTTCCCCAGAGAAAACGTCTTTCAGACTCGCACAAAAATGTCGGTCTCGAATTTTCTCCCTTTCACGCGACTCCGAAACTGCTCGGTCATCTTTGTCATCATCGGCCTCCATCATCTTTGTAACCATCATGGTCACCCTGGGGCTCGAGATCATCATGTGGCCTCGTAGCCTTGGTGGTCGTAAGGTCATAATGTCCTCGCTCATTGTCCTCTGGATGCCCATATCCGTGCCTAGACTCAACATTATCATACACCTCATGGTCATGGTCAGGCTCATGACCATATCCTTTGTCCCCTTCACCATGGAAGCCTCTTTCAATCTTCAGCTTGCTATGGTCATATTCCGACTCCTTGTCATAAGATCTTCCACGGTCATGATCACGTTCACGTTCCCGGTCTCTACCTCTGTCTTGATCCCTTTCATAGTCATGACCATGGTCCCGATCTCGATCTCGACCATGATCACATTCCCTATCATCACGCCCACGATTCCGATCCCTGTCCCTATTCCTATCACGGTTTCTATGGTGTCTTTCTTCCCTTGCATCTCGATCTCTTGTTCTATCATGGGATCGTTCACGTTTTCGATCTCTTCCTCTGTCACGAGATTTCTCCCTCTCCCTGTAACATTGTTTTTCAAATAAATACAACAAAACTAATTCCATCATTCTTTTTCTATCAATAAAAAGTAAGATACGCTGAAAAGCAAAGGACAAATCAGATTTTGGGATAAGGCTAGGTCAAACACAAGGTAGACCACCAAAATTGATTCGCCTTACCGTTCAGCATGACGATCTTCTCGGGCCCTTGGCTCCTCAGACCTAGGTCTAGGTGCTGAACCTATCTGCTGTTGCTCTCTGGGAAAATTATTGAAAAGTTAATGGAATATGCAAGTAGCAAAAATAACAAATAAATATAAACTATGACATACCCGCTCAGTTTAATAAAGAAACAGGAATCAATAACCAACCATGATTTCACACTACATATAGTTTGGTAATACAAGAACCATCCATCTCTTTGAAGCTTTTATTTGCCATACGCCACATCACACTACCTAGTTTTTCATTTTTTTTTCCTTTTTTGATTGTTGACTTTCAGAGAGTTCTATTCTGGTAAAAATACAGTGCCCCGCACCACCCAAACTACATTGCATAGACAACCCCGCTATACTTTTTCTTCAATTACATCGCACTTTAGATGGTTCCCCAATGCATTTGAGCCCCACTGACCTCTTTATTGCTAATGTGTCTGTCGTGTCATCATCCATATGAATGTAGCTCTCAGTGCCCATCTAAGCATTTTATTTCCCTTATGTTATGCCTGCGTGTTAGAATTAGAATACGGACAGCTGGCTTGGCTTATGCCCACGTGACAGTTACAAACCACTTGTACAACTTGGGCCAATTAGTTGCAACTTGTAAGTCGGTTACCCACCAACCCAAATGTATTTATACTTCATTTCCTTATCAATTAATGCAAGAAAATACGTGCGTTCAGCCTCCCTGTCTCTGCGATGAACTTACGACATTTGCGATAAGGCTATGAACCCTGCCTCTGTTTTCTCTGTTTTTACATGGTATCAAAGCCTGTAATCCATTCCGCTGCTACTACCTTTTGCAGCTGAAACAACCTGTAATTCCCTCCTGGTTCATCCCCTTTGTTCTCATCATTATCAAAACCTGCCGTTGCTTCCAGCTGTGACGGCCATGGAATCTGATCCAAGCTCTCCTTACTACCTATACCCATCCGACAACCCAGGAAGCATTCTTATATCCTTTCACTTGACCGGAGATAATTTTTCGACATGGCAGCGAGCCATGAGAAATGCACTGAGAGCCAAGAACAAATACCGGTTCGTGGACGGATCTTTGCCACGGCCAGCAAGAACATCACCGGACGAAGATGCTTGGGTTAAAGGTAATTCGATGGTGGTTTCTTGGCTGTATAATTCTTTGGGGAAAGAACTCCATGAGTGTAGCCTTCATTGACTCAGCTTCTGAGATCTGGAAGGGGTTAGAGGAGAGATTTGCATAGAGCAACATCCCACGGATCCATCAGTTGAAATGGGACTTGGCAATGCTACAACAAGGAGACCTAATCGTAGCCGGTTATTTCACCAGACTAAGGGTTATGGGATGAACTCGGATGCCTCACCGATCTGCCTCAGTGTACTTGCGAAGCTTTGAAACAATTCATTGCGGATCGTGAGAAAGAAAAACTCCACCAATTCTTGATGGGTTTGAATGAATCTTTCAACATCATCCGATCGAACATTCTGGGATCGGATCCACTGCCGAGTTTGAACAAGGCATATTCGCTTGTGATCCAAGAAGAACGGCTCCAGATGTTTATCTCCCTTCGAGGACCGCCCAACCTTGAAGTTGCTGCATTGAACAGTGTATCAAGATCCAACCCTCGAGAATCCGAGAATTGCAATATCAAGATCCAACCCTCGAGAATCCGAGAATTGCAATCGTTCTAAGTACGTTTGTGATCATTGCAAGAAAGCTGGGCACACAAGGGAACGATGCTACAAGCTTGTGGGTTACCCTGCTGGATGGGAGAAAGGCAGATCAAATTGTTTTACAAAGTCTGACAAGACCCCCCAACCGAGTTCATGTGCCAATGCAGACACCAATGATGACGAATCACCTATTGCTGGGCTGAGCATCTGGCAATATAACCAACTAATGGGCCTGTTGAGCAGAGAGAACCATGAATCAGCTGCACATGTAAACCTTTCTGGTAAGCACTCCAATATTTCCATTGGATGGATCCTAGATAGTGGTGCTTCTGACCATATGGCTTCTACTGCATCATTATCTAATCGCACTCAGCTGCAATCTTCCAAACCAATTCATCTTCCGAATGAGACTGTTACAACTGCGTCTCATTACGAAACTGTGAATCTTGGACCGAAACTGGTCATCAATCATGTTTTGCATGTCCCAAAATTCCACTGCAATTTACTCTCTATTAGCAAACTTACAAAGGAGCTGCAATGTGCTGTTCTGTTCTTTCCTTCATTCTATGTTCTCCAGGACCTTGCCTCTCGGACTGTGATTGGGATGGGTAAACTTGTGGACGGGCTGTATTACTTTACCAATATTGGATCTGTAGATAGTTCTGTTGCGCTCACTACAACCTCGAATAAAGACCAAAAGCTTTGAAATAGACAACTTGGACATGCCTCTTCACATCGCCTTTCCCTCATCCGAGAGATTCCGACCCTTCCTCAAATCAACTGCTGCAACGCATGCCACAGGGCCACACAGTCCAGATTACCATTTCCGGTTCAACAGTCTCAGGTTGCTCAACCCTTTGATCTGGTACATTGTGATTTATGGGGAGGATACAAGACTCCATCACACACAAGCGCACATTATTTTCTTACCATCGTTGATGATCATACTAGATGTGCTTGGACTTATCTTTTGAAATTTAAATATGAAGTTGTTCGTCATCTCATATCCTTTTGTGCTATGGTAAAAAGGCAATATGGCCATTCCTTTCAACAAATTCGATCGGATAATGGCAAGGAATTTTCTCTGTTCCTCTCATCAATTACTTCACTGAATAGGGCATAATCCAACAACATTCTTGCATAGCAAGCCCTCAGCAAAGCGGTGTTGTAGAGCACAAACACCGTCACCTGTTAGAAGTCGCCCATGCATTACGATTCCAAGCTTCACTACCTATCACATTCTGGGGTGAATGTCTGCTCACGACCACATATATCATTAATTGGCTATCAACGCCGTTTCTTTCAGGTAAATCACCATCAGAAGTGCTACTACAACAAATCCCAAGTTACAACCACATGCGAGTGTTTGGCTGTCTCTGTTATGCAAAAGTACAGCCCAAACCTCATGACAAATTCTCTAGCAGGGCAAGACGCTATGTGTTTGTTGGGTATCCATTTGGTCAAAAAGGGTATCGTGTGTTTGATATAGACACTGGGCACATTTTTACCTTGCAGGATGTCATATTTTATGAAGATCAATTCCCATTTCAAACTTCATAACCAACATCAGCCACTCCTATCATACCATTGCCTACATCCGACCATGATTCGACTATATCACCTAATCCATTGGTTCATGACATGCATGAGGCACCACCAATCACAAGCACACCCGCTGGCAGCCCAGAAACAACCATTGAAGAAAATAACCAAGTTCTCACTCAACCTGGCCCACGACCGCATAGACCTCGACAAGTATCCACCCGCTTGCGCTCATATGACTACCAACTTCCACCATCTCTTGCTAACACGGTCACCAGCCCGGGTGCCTGCCTGGCTACAATTTCCTCAGAAGTAGAACGGTCTTCCTTTACTGAGGCTGTCAATGATCCTAAATGGCGATAGGTAATGGCAACCGAAATTGAAGCACTTAGGCTCAAAATGGGTCTACAAGATTAAATTGAGAGCTGATGGCAGCATTGAGAGATACAAGGCCCGTTTGGTGGCAAAAGGGTATAATCAAGTCAAGGGACTTGACTACCACAACATCTTCGTGCTTGTAGCAAAGATTGTTACTGTTCATTGCCTGATCGAAGTGGCAATTGCCAAATGTTGGGAACTTCATCAACTGGATGTAAACAATGCATCCCTCCACAGTGAACTCCAAGAAGATGTTTACATGCGCATCCCTCTTGGATTTGCCAAAGATGGGGATCAACGAGTTTGTAAACTCCAAAAATCCTTATATGGCCTCAAACAAGCTTCACGGATGTGGTTCCAAAAATTTATTCACACGCTATTGGGTGCAAGCTTGACCCAATCAGTGGCAGACTATTCATTTTTTACAAGCAAACAAGACAACTCCTTTATTGCAGTCCTTGTGTATGTGGATGACCTCATCATCATAGGAAATGATCCAAGCCGTATCGCTTCCCTCAAATCTTACCTCAATGAGTGTTTCAGCATCAAGGATCTTGGACCCTTAACATATTTTTTGGTCATTGAGGTGGCTCGTTCAAACTCAAGTGTTTTCCTAAGTCAGCATAAACACGTCATTGACATTTTGAACGAAACTGGGATGCACAAATGCAAACCATGTTCAACTCCCATGGAACAGCAACGACACTTCAATAATGATGCCAGTCCAGTCCTCTCAAATCCAACTCAATACAGGCGTTTGGTGGGCCGCCTTCCATACCTTATGGCCACGAGACCTGATCTTAGCTTCGCAGTAAATCAGCTCAGTCAATTCATGCAAGATCCACGAGAAGAGCACCTCCAGGCTGCTTTACGGGTGGTCAGATATCTCAAATCCACCTCCCATCATGGCATCTTTATCCCATCTACTAATGATTTTGTGGTTCGGACCTTCTGTGGTTCCGACTGGGCTAGTTGTCCACTTACCCGACGCTCCACAACGGGTTATATCATAATGCTTGGACAGTTTCCAATCTCTTGGAAGACCAAGAAACAGCACACTATGTCGTGATCCTTTGTAGAGGCCAAGTATCGAGCCATGGCGGTCACAACATCATAACTCATTTGGCTTAAACGAGTTTTTGCAAATCTAACAATTCGCATCACAACACCCATGGAATTACACTGCGATAAACAAGCTGCTCTCCACATCGCTGCCAATCCGGTTTTCCATGAACGCACAAAGCACATAGATATTGACTGCCATTTTGTCCGAGAGCGTATTCAAAGTAACGAGATCAAAACTTTCCGCATCAATAGCAACAATCAACCAACAGATCTCCTAACCCAAGCTCTAGGGGTGTCAACATTTCAAAACCTCGTTCTCAGGTTTGGCGTTACGTCTTCTCACGCTCCAACTTGAGGGGAGGGTGTTAGAATTAGAATAAGGACAGCTGGCTTCGCTTACACCCACGTGGTAGTTAGTTACAAACCACTTGGACCAATTAGTTGCAACTTGTAAGTCGGTTAACCACCAACCCAAATGTATTTATACCTCATTTCCTTATCAATTAATGCAAGAAAATACGTGCATTCAGCCTCCCTGTCTCTGCAATGAACTTACAACATTTGCGATAAGGCTACGAACCATGTCTCTATTTTCTCTGTTTTTACAATGCAACACCATAATCCGGGATTGTTGTGCTTTAGCCATCTAATAACAGTTCTTGAGTCTCTATAATGAAATTAGTGTAGTTAAGAGCTCTGCTTAACTTCAATCCATGTATAGTGTCAATAATTTTTCTGATCAATAAAGATAAATTTTATTAAACTTCAAATAGAAGGAATTACATCAAGGAGGAAAATTCTCCACCAGAAGAAACTTTATATTTTTGCCCAAAATATTTGTTGTCTTGTAGTCCCTTGTTTAGCCAATGTGTTCGCCATCCCATTGGCTGTTCTTACCCATCTAAAGACAAAAGGTAACATTCATCCCCCTTGCTAAGGATTCTATTTCAGACTGTATGCCTGCATTCTGCAAGCCCATGGGATTTGGGTACTATTCCTTGTCCATGAGATAACCGCTTTTTTTTTTTCTTTTGATAAATAGTCCATGAGATAACCGCTTGTGAATCCCCTTCCACTTCCAAGTTAAGAAACTCAAACTGCTTAGCGAATTTTAGACCCTGAAGAAGACTAGACAACTCTGCTGTCACTGCATCACCATTGACTACAGGTCCTGAACATAACGTATAGTGTCAATAATTATGCCTTTACTGAATTATCATGGCCAACAGGACCAGAGTATATGGTCAAAACCACTCCCACATGATTCCTGAAGACTCCTACTACCGAGTACCGACAATCCTGGATTATCCAGACAGCATCCATCAAAATTAAGTTCTGTGTAATTTAATGGTATGGTGGAGACCAGTTAAATAGCATTGTGTTATTCAATGGAGATGAAGATGCAATCTGTTGTCATCCCCCAATTATATCATCCACTTTGACCCAATAGGCCACTTTAACCATTATGTTTTAAACCAAAGCTTATTTTGAATGGTTCTCCCCCTTGAAGATTCTAATCTCTTTCTCCCCTAATTGACCATGGCACAGTGGCCCTAGTGCACCTCACCGATAATTTACACCGTATCTTCTTAGGGTTGAAAAACTGTGCTAAAAGACTTTCTAGGTCGGGTTGAGAAGACCACTTATATCCAAAAAAGTCAAAAAAAAAAAAGAAAAAAAAGAAATGCTCCCAGAAGAAGTATAGGGATGGGAGATTACCAGGTGAAAAGTAGTTTCGCCACTTGCTGTACATAAGAAACAAATGGAAGGAGACAAGCACCAATTAGGCCTCCTCTTTTGTAGGACCTCACAGGCATTGAAATTATGATGAAAACCTCTCAATAAATATAAAATGCCTTGATTTTTTATGGGGCAGGTCCAAACCATATAGCCCTAACCAGGAAAGCCCTAAAGAGTGTGACAGAAGGGAGCAGAGATTAGAAAAAGGAAACACAAGAGCACAAGAGAAGATCCCAAATGAACAAGAGACCAAATTCTACTGTCAGGCATGGAAGCATCCAAGTAAATGCCTTCTGAGAGGGAGATGAGTTCCAAATCTGCAGTTGTTTTACTAGGGATAACTTTGGCTGTTGCGGACCACAACAGCCTATGTTGTTGAGAGTGTTTTTGGACTGGACATGTTAATCCATTCACGCCCATGTCTAACTTTTTGGTCAAAAGAAAATAGGAGCAATTACTATTTTACCCCACTCTCATGGTAACGTGGCATTTCTAAGAACATTCTCAACAGCATAGGCTGTTGGCCCCCAACAGCCAAAGTTTTTTCGTTTTACCAAGTCCTCTTCTTAACCCCCAATCCTAGATTGGCATAGAGTTGTGTGATGATTAGGCATTAAGAAACAGTTAAATTTTTGTTCAAAGACAAGGCATAAATATTAGGGAACTCCCTTTCAAGGTTGATTCCCCTACCACAAATCCTCCCAAAGTCTAGTTCTAGTCCCATCTAAAACACCATGACAGACCCGAATCAGGAAGGAGAGAGGGCTGAACTTGATTTTCTAAGGAAAACTAAAGATACCCTTTGAATCTCCTTGGCATCCCACCACACAACTTATAACAAACACAATATGGACCATCTCCTTCGACCTTATGGTTGACCTACACCATCCACAAGCATCCTAAAAGTAGAATTCTACTTTTAGGGAAAAAGGGTTAGATTGGGTGGGTCAGACCCACCAAGCCATGGGAAATAAGACCAATGTATATAGGAGGCTTTATGGGGAAAAGGTGGTGCACTAAAACTGTCCTTTGTCCTTTCTACATCCATCCAATTCCCACATTGATCCCCCCCTCATTTGTAATTTGATAATATTGATCTCAGAAAGATATGACTTAAAACAAAATGATTTATGTAACATTTCACAAAAATGTCTCTGACATTCCAAGTAATCTAAAGTTACTTCTACCATTGTTTGACCTCTTCCAAGCTGGGGTTGTACACATGCATATATAGAGAGGAAGTTTGTTCTTTACTAACCTCAATTTGTTGTACAATGCCTTGTATACTTTCATTAATAACAGAGACACTGGGGTGGAAGTAAAAAAGAAATGATTTTAGCACGCATATGACACTGAGCAGAACAGAATGGCGAAATAGGATTCATGCAGCCAATTCCACATTGTTGGGACAATGCTTAGATGATGATGACATGGAAGCCCTAATATTTGTTTTATTAATTAACAGATTCCCCAAAAAAACAAAAAGAAATATTAGTTAATAGAGAACCATAATGTACCTCGAGATGCCATACCAATGGGTGCCACAAATACCTAGAATTTCCACAAAATTAGAAACCTGGGTATGAGCTAATAATGCATGTCGACTAATTTAACTAATGTATTTCCATTTTAAGTTTATCCCATAATATACATCAAGAGAGTCAGAACACTAGACATCTTAAGTCTGTTTGGGACAATACAACAGAACTACTGTATTGAAGCTATTACCTGCCAGAATGCTTTTGATTAACTTCTTCACCTCCAACCCTGGTTGATCCAAGTCCCCCACCTAATCTGCGAGGTCTCCAATTTGGAACAGTTCTACCACGTTCAACATCCACAAGCACCCTTCTGTTGTCAACCTTCCTTCCATCAGCTTTTTTGTATGCAGCTGCATGATACATAGCAAATTGACTTGATCATAACAAAAGTAATGCATGAGCAGGTCAGTGGAGAAGATCCTTGAAGATAGAAGCAAAAAATCTCATGTTCGAAGAGATGAGAATCAAGGGGAAGGTAAACCTGAAGGTAAGGGAAGCGAAAAAGGGTACAGTATTGCTGGAAGGATTAGAAGTGATCGAGTGGCTAAGAGAGTTCATAGCTGGAGCCTGTTCAAAAGGTAAGCAGATAAACTGGCAGGATTTTAGTACATTAGAAGGGAGAAGATATGTTGTTGAATGTAAGAGGAATAGAAAAGGTTT